GCAGGCCGCGCACCACGGCCCGCGCAAAACGCAGGGCTCGCGGGGGAAGGGGGCGCCCAGTCAAGCGCTGAGGCGCGGAGCGCCAGGGGGCGGGTGCGGCAAGCGGCGGGGCTCTCTGCTACGAACCTTACGCACCCCGCCGCTGCCGTGGGCCCCCGCCCTCGGCGAGGGCAGGGGCGGCCGTCTACGGACGCTGCCAGCTCGTGCGAGAAGGGCGCTGCGAGGGCAGTGGCAGCCTCCGTGCCGGAAGGGGCGCCCGAGAGGGCGCGGGCGGGCAGTGGCCGCCCTGCGAGGGCATAGTGGCTGCCTGTGCGAGAAGGGCCGTCGCCTGTGGGACAGGCCCGCGCGAGTCGCGGCGCCCGCGGGCGAGGGCGCGGCCGTGGGGCCGCGGCGCGTTTCCCCTCCTCTCCCCCTCCTCCGCGCTACCCCAGTCGCTTCGGGAAGTGTCTTCGAAGTGTCCCTTCCTCCTCCTCCTCCTCCTCCTCTTCCTCCTCTTCCTTTCCTCTTCCTCCTCCTCTCGTCCTCCTCTTCCTCCTCCTCCTCCTCCTCTCCTTTTCCTCTTCTCCTCTTCCTCCTCCTCCTCCTCCTCCTGCCTCCTCCCGATCCTCCTCCTCTTTTTCCTCCTCTTCCTCCTTCTCCTTTACCCACCTTCTCCTCCTCCTGTTCCTCCTCCTCTTCCTTCCTCCTCTTTCTCTTTCTCCTCCTCCTCCCCCTCCTCCTCCTCCTCCTCCTTCCTTCCTTCCCTCCCTCCTCCTACCCCCTCCTTCTCCTCCTCTCACGGCGCGCTGGTTAGGCGCGCTAGCATGCCTCGCGTGCGTTGGCCCGTTCGCAACCTCGTGCTGCTCGCTTTCTCCTCTCCCCTTGTCGTCCCTCCCGCTGCTCCCGCGCCTTAGTCATGCGGGCGTCCTGGGGATCCCGGGCGGAGTCCTAAGCCGGAGCTCCTCTTCGAGGGTGAGGGTGAGGGGAGGTGGGGGTGGAGGTGCGGTGGAAATGGGGAGGGAGGCTGAGGAGGAAGAGGAGGAGGGGGAGGAGGATGAGGAGGAGGAGGAGGAGGAGGAGGACGAGGCGGAGGAGGGGCATGGTGGGGAAAACGAAAAGGAGCTGGGGGGGAGGGGGAGGGGGAGAGGAAGGGACGGGTGGGAGGTGATAAAGAGTAGGACGCTGAGGGGGCGTAAAACAACGACAAGGAGGAATAGGATGGGAACGGTGATCTCCTGGAATCAATTATGAAAAACTTGTCAGCGAAGGCCAACCTGGGGATCAATTGGGGCCTCGGTGGCAGACTAATGGAGCCACTTGGGCAACGCCTGGAGGCCATTTGGGTTTTTTCAGGGTTTGGGTTCCCTCGGGGCCCTCATGCGCCGATCCAGGGGCCATCGATCAATATATGCTCCCCCTCTGTCAGATGTCGAGCAACCGCCCAGGACGGCTCTCTTGGGACGTTCTTGGGGTGCTTTTGGGGGGCTGTGGAGCTTTCCTGGAACTCTCTTGGGCCATTTTGGAGCCACCTTTCCCCAGAGCCTTCTCACAAGCAAATGAATGAGAACAGGCGAGACGACCAACATAATCAAACGCGTGGTATGTGATTAAAGGATCCTGGCTTTTTGGGAACAGTATTGGGTTTCTTTGGCAACATCGGGTCTTCATGCCGAGTTCTTGTGATCTCTTGGATGCATACTAGATGCCATTTTGGACCAACTCGGATTGTATTGCGCCATCTTTCAGGCAGTCGTGAGCTAGATGGGGCTATGCTGGAGCCATCTAATGTCAACTTGGTCCTTCCCCCCCTCACAAAATCCTGGTCCAGATTCCTGGGGAAAAGGAGCGGGTCACGGTCAAGCTCCTCTACGGAGTGGGACATGCGGGTATGGCGAGCTGACCAGTGTAACCACCTCCGCCCAGAGGGCTCGTGGGAATCTGGTCAGAACGCACCCTTGAAGGGGTTTTCCTCTTACCCCATGCCTCTCCCCACGGGGCTCCCCATGTCCATCGTCATGTCCTCGTCATCTTCGGCCTCCTCGTCGTCCTGCTGGTGCTCCTCCCTCTCTTCCCTGCTCCTTTTCCTATTCCTCCGTATGTTCCTCCTCCCTTTGGACGTCGTCGTTGTCCTTCTCCTCCTTTTCATCCTCCCTCATCATCAGCATCATCAACATCACCATCATCACGCTCATCAGCTCCATCATCATCATCACCACCATCCTCATCAACACTGTCATTGTCAGCAGCAGTATCGTCGTCATCATCATACTAATCAGCATCATCAGCATCAGCATCAACATCCCCATCATCATCATTAGTTTTGTCGGTATTATCAGTGGTAGTAGTACTATGACCATCATGAGCATGATTACCATTATTATTATTGTTGTTATAATTATTCAGAGCATTTATTGTTATGATGACTCAGTTTCTTATCAGTTTGTGTATTTTTGTTCTACATTTGGACTGTTCGTATTAGTATGGCTCGTGTTACTAGTACGATTCGGGTGATCATCATTATCACTGTTATCACCGTCGGCAGTCTTAGCATTGTTCTTTATCGTATTCTTCGCATTGTTATCGTTATTGTTTTCCAGAGTTGTTGTCTCCATCTTCTTCTTAGCATCAACATCACGGTTTTGGTTAATTGTTGTTGTTATTTTTCTTGATGTCAGCATTCATATCAGCATTATTGTTGTTGTTATTGTTGCTGTTTTTGTTATAGGTGTTGTTTGTATTGTTTTTGTTGTTGTTGCTCATTTTTGCTATGATTGCTATTACCATTCGTATTAGTACTGTACTAGTATTGTTGCTGTTGTTGTTGTTGTTGTTGTTCTTGTAGTTGTAGTTGTAGTTGTTGTTGTTGTTGTTGTTGTTGTTGTTGTCTCTACTAGCTGTATCAGTAGAGTATCATTCTCAGCATTATCCGCTTTCTTGTCAGTATTACTACCAGTATCATCATCAGCAGCAGCAACACCATCATCAGCATCATCATCTTCTTGTTTCCCTGTCGAACCCTTTACATCATCCCCCGAGCACGAGCGGGAGAAAATTCGATATCACCCGCAGCCACAGCCGGTCCAAACATGCCTTGCTGCATTGGCGGGTCTGCCGCGCCGCTGCAGGAGCGAGAGGGCACCTCGGCAGGCATGATGCCGATCCAGTTTTCGCGGAGCTGCCGCTCCCGTCCTCGCGCACCCTTGCACGGAGAGGAAGAGGAGGAGAAGGAGGAGGAGGAGGAGGAGGAGGAGGAAAGGAGGAGGAGGAGGAGGTGGTGGAGGAGGAGGAGGAAAGAACATCGACGAGGAGAAGGAGGAGGAGGAGGAGCAGGAGGAGGGAGGATAAGCAGGAGGAGGAGGAGAGGAGGAGGAGGAGGAGGAGAGGAGGGGAGGGAGGAGGAGGGGCGAGGAGGAGGAGGAGGAGGAGGAGGAGGAGGAGGAGGAGGATGAGGAACAGCTAGGTGGAGGAGGGACTGCCAGGTGGAGAAGGAAAAGGTGATTTTCGGCGCAACGGGTAGGCCTGCCTGGTGGCCCCCCGCAGCTCCAGGCGGGGCCCCGGGGCCGGCGGACGTCCGCGACGCTAAGACGGCTTACCCGACTGGGGACCCGAGCTTCGCTGTGAAGCAGTGCTTCCCCGCGGCCGTCGGGCAGGAGACGGTTTGGGGCCCGCGATCGCTCCCCGGCCCAGTCTTCGTCGCGCCGTTGGCAAAGCCACAGCGGGAGCGGCCCTCGGGCGGCCTCTGCGGGCCTGCGGAACCGTCAAGAAACTGCGCCGGAGGAAAGCCCAGACCTGGGGCAGAGGTCGAGACCTCTGGGGGTCGACGTCGATGGCCGCATCCGCAAGGCTCTTCGTCGTCGTCGTCGTCGTCCTCTTCCTCCTCCTCCTCCTCCTCCTCCTCCCACCCTCCACCCTACTCCTGGAAGGTGAAAGAGGACGAAGATCGAGGGAGGAGGAGGACGAAGATCGAGGAGGAAGAGTAAGGTCAGGAGAAGGAGGAGGAGGAGGAGGAGGAGGAGGAGGAGGAGGAGGAGGACGACGAAGAACGAGGAGGAGGAGGATCGAGGGTCCAGACCCTGTCCGTATGCGGTCGGTGCCTTTTGGCGTTTTGAGTCGTTAGGAAGGCCGAGAAGGCGAGCAGGCCAAAGTCATGCAGAAGCGTAAGGCTTTGCAGCCGCTTTGGCCTCAATAGGGCCTCCTGGGGCCCTCCTTGGACTCTCCTAGGGTGTCTCTGTTTTCTCTTGGCCGCACTGGTCCGTTCTTTGGGCCTTTGAGGGCCGTCGTCGGGCAATATCGGGCCCTGGTGTCATGGGTTTTCGGGAACTTGGCATCTGTGGGTCCCCTCCTTGGAGCCTCGGGAGCCGTCTTGGGGGCTTCTTGGGTTCCTCTTGAGTGGATTCTCTTGGAGTCCGCAGGCACGATGCTAGGGCCAAATCGTGCCGCATCGGGGCCAGATTGGGCCGCCTTGGAGGCAGTTTCGGCTGTATTCCAGGTTCGCGCGACTGGGTTGCTGCAAGTGGTCGGCAGATACGATATGGCGTGGCCTCTTGGGGTTTGGGTGGCATTTGCGTTATGTGTTCAAGCCAATCTAGCTTTAGTCAACCCATCGTGCACGTATTAGCTGTTTTTCCCAGGAACGGTTACGTCCCCACACCACTTCCATGGCCTGCTCCTGCGTCGCAGTTTGGCAATGGATACGGGAAAAGGGGGAGGGGAACGGGGGAAGAGCAGGTATTCTTCCCCCCTCCTCTTCCTCCTCCTCCTCCTTTTCCTCCTCCTCCTCCACCTCCTCCTCCTCCTCCTCCCCCTCCTCCTCCTCCGGGTCCTCCTCTTCCTCCCCCCCTCCCGCCCCTATCCTCCCCTTCCTCCTGCCTCTCCTCTCGCCCTCCTGCTCGCTATGTTGCTCCCCCTGCTCTTCTCCCTGCTCACAATGTTGCTCCTCCTGCCCTCCTCCCCCTCTGCCCGGGGAGGCGGGCGGTCTGGAAGGGCGACCCCCCTTCCAGGAGGAGAGTGACCCCTTCCTGATGTGCGACGAGTTCGGCCCCACGCCCTCCAAAGGAGACGCGGGCAAAACATCACCCTGGCGAAGAGACCGATCATGCGCAGTTGTGAGTAGCGCGGCTGTGCGTATCCTCTTCGGAGGAGCTTCCTATGGGGCTGCGGAAGGTGTGAGGATGTAGTGCCGCCATGCGAACGCAGCCACTGGGGCCTTCGATGGAGCCCCCCATGCCCTCGGTGGAGCTCCCTGTGGGGCCACGAAACGTGTGAGGGGTGTGCCGCAGGGCTGGACCTAAACTGTGTTTTGGTGATTTCGTGGACCGTTTTCGTTTCGACTTCGTTTTGCGTTAAAGGCGGATTGAAGACAAAACGAGGAAAAACGAAAGCAAAACGATAACGAAAAACACCGTTTAGGTTCAGCCCTGGTGTGCCGAAATCGGTGCGGTGCCGCCGTGCGAGCGCAGCCACTGGGGCCTTCGGCGGAGCCCCCTCTGGGGCTACGGAAGGTGTGAAAGGGTGTGCCGACATGGGTGCTCGAAAGCTGGGCAAGGGCTGGTAAAACCGCGGCTGCGAAAACGGCCCTCCCGGAAGGAAAACCAACTTCCCGGAATGAGGCGCGGCACGCGAAACAATCAACGGGCTTCTTCCCGGAAGGACGAAGACAACTTCCTGGAGGTCGATTTTAGCAGCCACGGATTTAGCAGCCTTTGCCCGGCTTCCGAGGTGCGGTGCTTCCATGCGAACGCAGCCATTGGGGCCCTCAGCGGAGCTCCCGATAGGGCCACGACACGCGTGAGGGGTGTGCCGACGGGTGCGGTGCCGCCATGCGAACGCAGCCACCTGGGCCTTCGGTGGAGCTCCCGACAGGGCCTAGAAACGTGTGAAGGATGTGACGACATGGACATGCTGAGGGCAGAAGCATGGACGGGAGCAGGGGGAGGAGGAGGAGGAGGAAGTCGCGGGGCGCTGTCTGCTCAAAACGAGGACCCAACACCACAGGATGGTTTGGAACAACCACCTTTGTGTCGCCTTGGGGGCGGGGGGGTCCGGGTCAGAAGGATGAGGAACGGGATTGGCAGCATTAGCTAGCAGCAGGGGCAGCAGCAGGAGGGGGAAGATGATGAGCAGGAGCAGGAGCAGCAGGAGGGGCGTTGCAGCAGAGCAGGAAGAAGAGGAAGAGAACGAGCAAGAGAAGGAGCAGGAACACCAGGGGGATCAGAAGGCCATCTTGGCTTGTGGTACGCAGTGCTCATTACGTTTATTCGTGTCTGCGACTCGTGTGGCGGGCTGTCGGAGCTCTGTTGGGGCGGTCCTGAGGGCATCGGCTCTTTCTTTCAGCTCTTCCAGGCTGCGCTTGGAGCTATCCTGGGCGATGTTGGAGCCAACCTGAGGACTCGGAAATTCACATTGAACGAACCTGAGAGCAATTCCACATCATGGCAATTGCTTGGTTGTTTGACGGATGTTAGCACCCTGTGGGTCTTCCGAGGACTGTCTTGGGCAATCCCAGGCCATCTTGGAGCTAACCTTGGGGCCGCTTGGTGCTGTCCTGGGGGGGGCATCTTGAGGCCTGCCGCCGAACAGGTACCACGGAAGCTCTATGTGGCCTCTCCTGGGGCGCTCTCGTGAGTCGTCGGGGCCCTCTTGGATCCCGTCCAGCCGCAACTTGGAATCATGTTGGGCGATGCTGGTGCCATCTTGAGGCCTGGGAAGTACCCAGGCGAGAAGATGACATCTATTGAACCACCCTCTGAGCTCTCGAAGCCCTCTGGCCTGCCGTGGGCTTCTCTGGGGCTGCTGGGGGCTATCTCTGGGCCTCGTGGGGCTGGTGGGCTCTCTTGATGCTCTCGTGGGCCTCTCCTGAGGCGTCCTTGGGAGTATGTGACGCATTCCTGGAGCTAGTCTTAAGTGGGGCCTGTCCCTCTACAGGGGAGATATGCAAATATAGTCAAAACATAGTCTGGGGACTATGTTTTGTGAGTATTTTTGTGACAATTTTGGAATATTTTTTCAGTATTTTTATTTTTCGTCGAAAATCCCCCTGTAGGGGGACACGCCCGATGTAAAGCTAGTCTGGGCCTCCACTCGGGTTCATCTTAAGCTAAGTTGACGCAATATCGAGGCCTGAGCGGCCCATGGAAAGCAGCACGGCGCGAGCGCCGACGCCCACGTAAACCACATGCTGTTGAACGCCCTGTGGCTTCCTGCCGGCGCCGCTGAGGCTGTGTTGGATCATCCAGGGCCACCTCGGGTCTGTGTTGAAGCTTCTCGGGGCATTTTGAGGCCGGGCACCCATCCCGCTCTCAGATAGCTATTGGACTCTATTGTATCTATCTCTCTCTCTCGCCCTCTCTCTCTCTCTCTTTTCTATGGGGGCGTCCTTGGAAGTCGTTGGAGCCCTCTTGGGGCCATCGTGAGCGATGCTGGGGCCATGTTGGGCCTGGGTAACGCATAGGACTCAACATGGAGAGAACGCCGAAGCTCTTGTCACACCATGATGTGTTTGAATGGTGTTGGCCTCCTTTGGGGGGGCTTGTTGGGATGTTCGGATGAGGAGGTTGAAGGATGAGATGGAATGAGAAGGGTAACGACTAGGAGAAAGAGAAGGACGAGAAACAGGAGGAGGAGGAGATGGAGGTGGATGGAGGAAGAGGACCCGAGTAAACCTAACATGCATCTACGATGCTGTAGTATAGCTTCGGGGGACGATCGTGGGCCCTATTGTTCCAACGAGGTGGAGGGGGTCGGGCGGAAATGAATCTCTCCCTCCATCCCCCATTCTTTGGGGGCTCCGAGATAGAGCAGTAGTCTCTCGGGCCCCCATGGGGGCCTCTTGGGGGCCTCGTGGGCTGTCTTGGGGCTCGTCTGGGCTCTCCTTGGAGCTCTTTGGGGCCATCTCCAGGCCTCAGAAGCCCATCAAAGGCTAGCAGGCCCTCCTCGGGTGGCTGACTTGAAGTCGTGTTGCGGTCGCCTGGGGGCCTCTCGGAGATATGCCTGAGGCCACAATGAAGCATCTTCGGTTGACTCGAGCCATTTTGGAGATCCCCTTGGAGCTATCCAGAATCATCTTGGACGCTCCGACCACTGGGGCCCCCCTGTCCAGACCAAGTGGAGGGTGTACGTGGAGGAGTAACCTCCTTCCCGAATCTTTGGGCCACAGGTTTTGGAAGAGGGAAGAGAGACCTCGCTATACTACCTGCGCCCAGAGGGCTGGTGGGATTACACCTCCTCGGAACCTTGTACCAGAGAGTCGAGCACGCTTTTGGTTCACTGGGCCAGCGAATCCCTCTACGTAAGGTGGGGGGAGGGGGTAGGAGGGGGATGATGGGGGTACCCTGATACCTCCTCCCTCCCTCCGCCCCCCTGCCTCCCTCCTCCGCCTGTTCCCTCCCCTCCCCTGTTATGATGATCCCTCCTCCCTCTCCTCCCTTCCCCCGGATGCAGCGAGCTCCCCCGAGGGGCCTACGGCGACGACAGCGACGAGGGCTTCGACGTGCCGTGGCATCCGCACCACGGGATGGACGCCTTGACTCGCGGATGAGGATGAGGATGAGGATGATGATGAGGATGCTGATGACGACGAGGATGATGATGATGCTGATGATGCGGATGATGATGATGATGTTGATGCTCATGCTGATGCTGATACTGATGTCGCTACTGATGATGATGATGATGAGGATGATGATGATGATGAGGGTGATATTGGATGCTGATGCTGCTGATGCTTCCGATGATGATGCTGATGATGATGTTGAAGCTGCTGCTGATGCTGATGCTGATGCTGATGCTGATGCTGATGCTGCTGATGCTGATGATGATGACGATGATGCAGATAATGATGATGCTGGTGCTGCTGATGATGACGACGATGATGACTATGAGGTTGTGGATGATCAGGATGATGATGCTGCTTCCGATGATGCTTCCGATGATGTTGATGATGCAGATGATGCTGATGCTGCCGATGATGATGCTGATGCTGATGATGCTGGTGCTGATGATGCTGATGATGCAGATGATGCTGATGATGCTGCTGCTGATGAGGATGATGAGGTGCAGGAGGATGATGATGATGAGGTTGAGGATTATGACAAGGATTATGATAATGCGGCTGCTGCTGATGATGCTGATGATGCTGATGATGATGATGATGATGATGATGCTGATGATGATGATGATGGTTGTGGTGGTGGTGATGATGGAGGAGGAGGAGGAGGAGGAGGAGGAGGTGGAAGAACACGTCATCGCATCCATCACCCGCCTCAATGACCTCGGCGCGTATACTGCTCGCCCGCTTGGACTGCTCTACTTTCCGCCGCCCTGCTGCCTTTCTTTCTACCGCTGCGCGCCGAGGTCCTCGCAGCAACTTGCAGCCACTAGGCCCAAGTCGGTACATGCCATATTTTTCTCACGAGCGATGCAAGCCCCGAACTTGAAGCCCGATCAACGTCAAACATGGGGGAGGTGGAGTAGGAGGAGGAGGAGGAGGACTTCCAGTCAATTGTTCCTGACGCCTTCTGCGCCCCGCAGTTCCGGGCTGTCGGGTTCCGTTTGCAAGTAATTGGAGTTGATGAGGGCGGGGTCGTTGCGGCCCTTGCTGCGTTCGTGGAGGCGAGGTGACGGAGGAGGGACGAGGGATTACAGACGATGACGATGATGGTGATGGTGATGTTTTCGATGATGACGATGATGATGCTGCTGCTGATGATGATGATGATGATGGTAATGATGATGATGATGACGATGATGATCCTGCTATGCTGATGAGGATGGGGATGATGCTGATGATGATGCTGCTGCAGATGATGATGCTGCTGATGATGCTGCTGCTGCTGATGATGATGATGGTGCTAGTGCTTGGACCATGGTGAAGACGATGGTGATGAGTTCGAGGACACTGATGATGTGGATGGTGAGGGAGATGACGCGGATGATGATGCTGAGGATGATGACGCTTACGATGACGATAATGATGGCGATGAATATGACGGTCACAATGATGATGACGATGACGATGAAGTTGTTGATAGTGATGATGATGATGGAGATGAGGTTGTGTTGCTACTGCTGATGATACTGGTGGTGGTGATGCTGATGCTGATGAGGATTTATGACGTTGAGTCTGATGCTGATGGTAAGGTTGATCTTGATGCAGCTGATGCCTGTGATGATGATGAGTATGATGATGTTGATGATGATGCTGATGATGATCATGATGCTGATGATGCTGTTGATGATGATGATGATGATGATGATGATGATGATGATGATGATGATGATGATGGTGGTGTTGATGATGATGCTTATGATTGTGATATTGAGTATGAGGTTGCTGTTAATCTTGAGGTTGACGTTTCCGATGTTGGTGATGCTGATGATGATGCTGATGATGATGATGATGAAGGTGATAGTGATGATGCTGCTGCTGATGATGATGGTGACGATGATGGCGGTGACGGTTGCGATGCTGATTGCGATGCGTATGGTGATGCTGGTGATGATGACGATGAGCTGATGATGATGCTGCTGGTGTTGATACTGCTGATGATTCTGACAATGATGATGATGCTGAAGATGATCATGCTGATGATGGGGGTGGTGATAATGTTGTTACTGAAGATGCTGATGTTGATGGTGATGTTGATGATGCTGATGATGATTACGGGGTTGATGCTGACGACGACGATGGTGATGATGATGGTGATGATGGCTATGATGGCTATGCTGATGAGGATGATGATGATGATGATGATGATGATGATGAAGCGGGTGATGCTGATGCTGCTGATGATGATGATTACGCCGATGCTTATGATGATGATTATGGTGGCCGTGGTGGCGGTGGTGTTGGTGATGATGATACTGCTGCTGCTGATGATGATGATGACGATGCCGATGACGCTGATGATGGTGATGATGCTGATGCTGATAATGATTATACTGATGATGATGATGATGATGATGCTGATGATGATGATGATGCTGATGCTGATGCTGATGACGATGATGACGATGATGATGATGATGATGATGATGATGATAATAATAATGCTGATTATTGTGATGCTGACGGTGATGGTGATGGTGATGTTGTTTACGGGGCGATGCTGAAGATGGTGGTTGTGCTGATGATGTTGATGAGTTTGGCGATGGTGGTGGCGGTGCTGTTGATGATGGTGGTGATGATGGTGAGGGTTGTGGATATGGCGGTGATGATGATGGTGCTGGCGATGATGCTGATGATGCTGATGATGATGCTGCTGCTGATGATGATGATGATGTAGATGGTGGTGATGATTGTGACGAGGATCAGGAGGATGAGGATGATTAGGAGGATGATGCTGATAATGTTGATGATGGTGGTGATGATTACTAGGATTCTGATGATGATGCTGCTGATGATTCTGATTATGATGATGATGATGATGATGATGATGATGATGATGCTGATGATGATGATGATGATGATGATGATGATGATGATCATTATTATTATTATTATTATTATTATTATTATTATGCTGATGATGCTGATGATGCGGCTGCTGATGTTGATGATGCTGATGATGAGGATGAGGTTGATGAGGAGGATGAGGATGAGGAGGAAGAGGAAGGTGGCAGTTACCGTGGTGATGATGGAGTTTCTTGTGGCCTTCGGCGCATCCCGCCACCGTGCCTTGGTTGTGGGTCGGAGGCCTCGTAGATGCATATTTGGGTTTCTCGGAATACCTCTCTGGGCCCTCTTGGAGGGCTCTTGGGGGCGTATCGAGTGCTCTTTGGGCGCCTCTTGGGGGCCTCCCGGCGGCCTCTTGGGGCCCCTCTGGAGCGTCTCTGGGGTCTCTGTTGGCCATCTTGGGGTGGAGGGCTCGGAAAGCCCTTCGGGCGGGCCCCTCTTATATTCGGGTCTCCTTGGTTGACTTGGGGCCCTCTTGGGAGGCTCGGGGAGATCTTGGGAGTGACTGTCTTGAACGCTCTTCAGACAGACCAGGAGATGCTGCCCACATTGTTGAAACGTGATAGGGGGTAAGTGTTTTTTGCTTATCGGGGCCCTCGTGAGGGTACCCTTGGAGTTGCGCATAACACGATGGTGTGTGTCAGTTTGGGGGTTGCAGGTCGGGCACGACACCCGTCGACGGATAGAGACAAATCAGCGCTGTGGCAAGGGATGTGTGGCAGGGATAGGGTGTCAGATATGGCACGAGCGCACCCAGCTTGTCCTCCTTCCTCCATCCCCTGCCCTTGCCTTCCTCTGCTTCTCCTTCTCCGTTCTTCCTCGCTTCTACTTCTCTTCTGTGCCTTCTCGCCGTCGTCGTCATCCTCTTCTTCCTCCTCCCCGACGCTCCTCTTTTTGTCCTTGCCCCTCCTCCTCTCCTTCCGTCTCCTCCTCCTCCTCCTCCTCCTCCTCTTCCTCCTCCTCCTCCTCCTCCTCCTCCTCCTCCTCCTCCTCCTCCTCCCCCTCCTCCCATGGAGGACATCCTGTCCTACATAATCGAGGGGCGGGGCAGGCACGCAGGAGACGCCGCCCCTCGTGGAAGGGACGGGGAGGACGAGGAGGGGGAGGGAGGAGGGGCGCGGAGGAGCAGGGCGGGGGATGAGGGGGGAGGGGGGGATAAGGGGAATGAACGGCCGTTCTGGCTCCGACGCCTTGGGCGAATCCACCTCGTGGGATGCGGAGCAAACCTAGTGTCGAGGGCTCCTGAGGGCTCCTGCCGGAATCCTGGATTGACCAGTGCTGCTTTCAACGACGTAGAGTCTCAGGACAGGTGCAGGGGAAGAGGGCAAGGGAGGCGATGGGAGACGGGCGGGGAGGGGGATGGAAATGAGGTGGGGGATGGGAAGGGTGACGGCGGGCGGGGTATGGGAAGGGGGAGGAAGGGGGAAGGGGGAGGCGGAATTGGGGCGATAGGATGACGGAGATTACAGGGGATTCACGAGCTGTAGAGCGACCTTCGTGTCAACTAACTCCCTTGACGACAGCCTGATCTGTTCACGTGCATCTTGCCTGGTAGCAAAGCGTTTCCGGATCCTTCATCGTGTGATGTCTGCTGCGTGAAAGTGGCATCTCTGGTCGCTTCACCGTGCTCAGTGGCCGAGCCAGTGTGACCAAAATGGGGGATGGAGGGGCTGGAGGGGCAGAGGAGCCCCGCGGCGCGATATTCCATGTCCTCGCACTGATTCTATATCCCCTCCGTTCCGATCTCACAGCTTTTACCATTTTGTACTATTCTCCGTTTCCTCATTCGACCTCGTTGAAACCATTTCCCTGGTCCTTGTTGGTGCGAGCATGCGCCGCAGCCGTCTTTGCGTACGCAGTTCGCCTGTGCTGGTTGACCCTTCCCTGCTCCCCACTCCCTGCCTCCCTGCTCCCTGCTCCCTCCTCCTTCCTCTCCCTCTGCTTCTCTCCCTGACTCCCTCGCTCCCCTTATGTGCTCCTCCTTCCTCCCTTCTGGGGTGGGGGGGCACGACGCGTGCCCCCCCCCACCCTAAGAGCTATCCCAAAAGCTGCTCCTCCCTCCTCCCTTCCCTATCGCTTCCCCTCCACCTCCGCTTGTGCTGACTTCGCCGTTCACTCGCTCACTCCTCCTGTTCCTCCCCCCCCTCCCCTCCCCTTGGCTCTCAGATTCCATGGGCAACCGCGAGACTTTCGACAGCCCGGGCTTCCAGTGGATCAGCGTCGGTTCCGGCATCGAGCACGCCGAAGGCGGCGGCAGCTAACGTGGCCGAAGACCAGAAGCCAGAAGCGTCGATCGAAGAGGGAGGGAAGCAGGGAGGAAGAGTGCGTGTGTTGCACCATAAATGATGTCGTGCACGTTACACCGTTACAGGCCAATTTAGCTGAAGTATGTTTTGTGTCATGCCCACTGTGTGTATGGCCTTCGTTTCCCTGTTTCGTGACCACCTCCACAAACACATCTCCACCTCGCTACTCCCGCCTCCCTTCTCCTTACTGCATGGTTACTCCCTCCCTCCCTCCGTCCCCTCCCTACTGCGTCTTCCTGCACTGCATGCTGTTTCTCACCTCTTTCCGAAGGTGGCGGGACCCCACTGGGGCAGAATACGCACGGCTTTCAGATCTGGATGCGCATGCCCGCCGAGCTGATGGAGAATGACCCTGAGTACGGCGTGGTGAACCCTGACGAGATTCCAGTTGTGCAGCTGGATAGGGGCCAGGTTCAGGGCCTCCCCAAAGGTTTGGTTCAGATGTTCTGGTGATTCTGCAATTCCGACAACCTTAGTTATTGGACGGCGGGTATCCATTGGTACATTTGTTCTTTTGTATTCCAAGTATGCGCGTACTTACGTATGAAAAGAACATGTCCCGTGTGCATTGGCAATGGGGGCGATGCACCTCCCCCCCTCGCAGGTGCCAGGGTGAGGATCCAAAACCCTGCCCCCCGGTACCACAGGGATGGGGTTGGAACCCCACCCTCTTCCAGGAGGGGGGGATCCGGCATCCTCCACCTCCCTTCTCCCTTATTCGACGCTGACAAACGACGACTACGAGCACCAGCGCCAGAAGACGACGACGACGACGACGACGGACGACGGACGACGGAAGACGGACGACGGAAGATGACGGCGGGGACGACGGACGACGGACGAGGACTACGAACGGCGGACGGCGAACGGCGGGCGACGGACGACGGACGACGACGGACGACGACGACGACGAATGCAGCAACAACAACGATCGACGGACGACGGACTACGGACGACGACGACGACGGCAGCGACGGAGGACCACGAGGGACGACGAACGACTACGATGACGACGAGGGACGACAGACGCCGACGATAACGACACCGAAGACGCCGACGACGACGACGCACGACGGACTACGACGACGGTGTCGACGGACGACGACGACGACGTCGACGACCGACGACGGCGACGACGGACGACGACGATGACGACGGACGACGACGACGACGACGACGACGATGACGACGGACTACGGACGACGGACGACGACGACGAGGACGACAGACGACGACGACGAAGACGACGACGACGATGGCGACGACGAGGATGACGACGAAGACGACAACGATGAGTGACCATGACGACGACGCACGACGACGACAGACGATTGACGGCGAACGACGGACGACGGACGGCGACGACGACGATGCGACGCGACACGACACTGCGACGACGGCACGACACGACGACGACGACGACGGACGATGACGACGGACGACGACGACGACGACGGCCGACGAGGTCGACGGTTGACGACGATGGCGATACCGACGAACTCGACTGCGACGACGAGGACGGCGACGACGACGGCGACCGACGACGACGCTGAGTGACGACGACGCCGTCGTCGACATCAATAACGCGTGACGGTCGACACGACACGACGACGCGACACGACACGCGACGACGACGACATGACAAGACGACACGGGAACGACCGACAACGACTGACGACGTCGACAACGAATGAGAACGATGACTTTGATGCCCCGCCCGACCCGACCCGCCCGCGCTGTAATTTCCCACCCGCCCGACCCAACCTGCCTTCTAGGGTCCGCCCGCTTACGCTGTCGTCGTCGTCCCCGTCGCCGTCGTCGTCGTCGTCGTCGTCGTCGTCGTCGTCGTCCTTATCGTCATCCTCGTCGTGATCGTCGTCGTCTGTCGTCCGTCCGTCGTCGTCGTCGTCCACCGTTGTCCGTCGTCCATCATCATCCGTTGTCCGTCGTCGTAGTCGTCGTCGTCGTCGTAGTCGTCGTCGTCCTCGTCCGTCGTCCATCGTCTGTCGCTCGTCGCTCGTCGCTCGTCGTCGTCGTCGTCGTCGTCGTCGTCGTCAATAACAGTCGTCATCGTTATACCTCGTCGTCGTCGTCCGTGCGTCCGTCTGTCCGTCCGTCCGTCTGACCGTCTGACCGTCGTCGTCCGTCGTTGGTCGTTCTTTCTTCGCCGTCGTCGTCGTCGTCATCGTCGTCGGCGTAGTCGTTGTCTGTCGTTGTCGTTCTCGTCATCATCCTCGTCCCTGCCGTCGTCGTCGTCGTCCGGCGCTGGCGCTCGCCGTCGTTCTCTTCTGCGTGGGTGCTCACTGTTGCCGGGTCAGGGGGGGTGCTGTCGGAGACCCTCCCATTGGCAGGGGGGACGGGGGGAGGGCAGTTTCGGGGCGGCTCCAGTGGATTTGTGTGTTGGATAGTAGGTATTCTGGGGCCCCCCTATGCTATCTAGTAGGGCACAAGTCATGGGGAGGCTTGTCCAAGGCAGGTTGTCTGGGGGGGGTCGTCTGGATCCTTGCGGGGTTGTCCAAGGGGTTGTCCAGGCAGTGTTGTCTTGCCAGCACGTGCACATGTCATTATCAGACATACCATCAAAAGCGTGGCACAACCAGGAAAAGCTCAGCTGGAATTGTCGCATCTCTTTTCCCCCTTTCCATCCTGTTCGTTCCTCGTCTTTCGCCCCGCTTTCCGCTTCCGTTCGCACGCTCTCCTTCACCGCGCTCCCAAAGACAGCTATGCTGACTGGGGTCTGGCTAATTACTTCCCTGAGTGGGAACGGTACTCTCGCCTCAACGCCGGCCACATCCTTTACTGGGTGTGTATGGTGTTGCCGCTCGAGTGCCAGCCACATCCGTGATTGGGAATGGTGCTCTCGCCCGAGCTCTGGCTTACATCCCTGTCTGGGACTGGTGCTGTCGCCTGCGGGCTGGCCACATCCCTCATCATTAGGCGTGGTACTCTCGCCTCAGCTCTGGCCACATCCCCAACCGGGAATTGTGCTGCCGCTCGAGCGCCAGCCACGATCACATGCTGGGACGCTTATGGTATGCATCTTGGAGGGGTTGTCCGGGTTGTCAAGGGGGTTGTCAGGGGATTTGTTTTGATAAGAGTTTGTTACATTAAACATGTAAGACATATGTGTGAGGATAGTGGCCGTGGAAGTCCTTCTTATCTATACACACGCATATTATGTATATGTATAGAAGCATAGACAGGTATACGTAATTATTTGTGTGTACAGGTACACATTCATACGTACTTGGACAGGGAGTCCTTACATGGCCTCATGCTGGACGTGATACCTGATTTTTCCATGGGCGTGCCGGTAAGCCTCCGAGCCTCGAGACGCGCCCAGTACGACCTTAGAAGGCGCTCACAGGGCGCCAAGCAGGACCCAGATTGTCCCAGTAGACTCAAGACGGCCCTGGGTGCGCGCTGGCTACACCTACCGAGTGTCGGTTGGGCTTGGAACCTTGGAGGCACCCACGCTCTCGAGACATCATCGGAGAACGACTGAGGTCCTAAAACGCTCTGCCCACGCCGAGTCACCTTTGCCTCCAGGACGGTGTGGTCACTGGGCCGTCTGGGAACCTCCCGACCAGGTACGAGTCATCTCTGGTGCCGTCGACGACGTCGCTGGGCCAGCCAGGTTTGCTGTGACCGCCCAAATCTTGGATGTGGAGCTGGAGGCGGGCGCCGAATGGATGTACGCGTGCCCAGAGGGGATGGACAACGCGATGTTCTACGCGTTCAAGGGCTCAGCCGTGCTCAACGGAGGCACGAAGCTGGCGGCCAGGCAGGTCTGCCGTTTCGACACCTCGGGGCCCCGTGCCGCGAGCGTGGTAGCCGGCGAGGAGGGCTTCAGGATGATGGTTTTCACTGGGAAGATGACCAGGGAGGACATCGTGTGGCACGGGCCCTTCGTGTGCTCCTCGCGGGCGAACCTCCGCAGCTGCTTCGCGAAATTCCAGACGGGAGAGCTCCCCAGCAAGAGGGCGGATTGGGACTACAAGCGCATCAGCCAGAAGCCGAAGTAGAAGCAGTCGGTGGAAGGGCGCCCCGCGAAAACCTGGCGGATTAGAACAGGGATCTCTCAGGTCTGGTGAGGGGCTCCTCCCTCAAGCAGAGCCTCGTCTTCGGTCTCGCCGGGGCTTCCCAGCTCCCGCAGGACGTTCCCCGGACGTTTCGACGCCGAGTGGGCGCCGAGGCCTGGTCGGGCACCCGAGAAGCAGGGCCTGGCCAGGCCTTCCTGCTGCGGCCCCCTGCTGCTCCTCCGCTGCCGGCTCCGCCTTCCCCCCCCCCCTCCCGCCGCCCTGGCTCCCGCTCCCGTGGCTGCCCCCGCTGCTGCTCCTTCTCGTGCCGCCTCTCCTGCTGGCCTGCTCCTGCTCCTGCTCTTCCTGCCGCTTCTGCTCCTCCCCCTCCTCCTCCAGTGCTGCTCCTCCATTGCTGCCCCACTGCGGCTCCTCTTACTGCCTCCCTCGGAGCCCTCCTCCCCCTCCTCCTCCCCCGCCTCCTAGACCTGACAAGCAAATAGTTTTTGAACACCAGGCTTCTAGAGGGATCTACCCAGGGTCCCAGAGGTTCGCCAGTCTTGCTAGCAGTAGAAGCATTGTTGACATTACTAAGAGAGCGGTCAACCATGAATAATCCCGCCTCAGTCTCATCTGGCTTCCTTATGCGTCGGTGGCTGCAGGGGCCAGGACGGCCCTGTGCGGGGTCTTGTCTGCGGCTTTGGTTCTTAGAGCCTGGCATAGGCACCCACTCTAAAGGGCAGGTTCACCGCGTCACATAGCCTTCAGTCAGTCTTGAATGTTCAGGTCCACGGAGTACAGTACTCACAGGACAATCAGACAATATGGCGTTAAGGGTGTGCGTATCGTATCGTATCGTCTCCTCCTCCTCCTCCTCCTCCTCCTCCTCCTCCTCCTCCTCCTCCTCCTCCTCCTCTGTCTCCTCCTCCTCACCTTTACCCCAGTTCCCTTCTCCCGTCCCCGCCCTGACCTCCCGTCCTTCCTCCCCCCTGCCCTCCTTGTCCTACTGCCGCTCCAGCTGCCGCTGCCCGTCCCTGCCCCCTGGGGAGCGTTGGGCGCGGCCGCTGGGCTGGCCCGTGGACCTGACAGGCGGAGCGTCCGCCGATTTTCCTTTTGGCTTCTGTCGAGCAGAGCGCCCGCGGACCTGACAAGCAGAGCGTCCGCGGACCTGACGAGCAGAGCGCCACCGCGCACCGCGAGGCCCTCGTGGCCTTGGCTTCCATGGAGGGCGCCAGCTACCGGGGGCGACCAAGAGGGGGTGATGCCTGGGGGGGAATATCATGACCAGGGCCATGATAACACCCTTGATTTCATGGCCGTCGTCTTATTTCAATGCGTCCCTTAGCCCCCCCCAGGGCCGCGCACGTGCCTCGGGCCATGATTCGCGAAGCACCCTCTTGGACGCTCCCGAAGCTACCTGCACATCTGCACCGATGACGGCCAGTCCGATCCTGGGCCCAGGATCGGCGCAGGCGCATCCGAGGCCAGGCCAAGGGGGACGGCGCATGCAGGGCGTGTGCGCACCCACCTGGGCCTCGGCATGCGCCGGGCCAGGACGGGCGCTGGTGTGCGGGTGGTGTCCTCCTGCTCGGGCACCCATCCCCGCGGCCTTTTTCCTCCCTGGTCCCGCTCGTGTACAGGCAATGCTGTCCGTGCTTTCCCTTCTCGCTGACGGAGAACAGCTCCGTACCGCGCTCTTGGGCAGCTGGACGCCATCGCGCCTCCGGCGCTCCAGCGCCGCCGCCGTGCTCTTTATACGGTCGGCCGCCTGTCCTGGGGTCGGCTCCTCAGAGGGTTTTGCGGGGGTAAAAGGGTCTTCAGAGGGTCATGAAAAGGTTTTGAGAGGCTCCTGATTTTGAAGCGGGTTGTGGGACTGTGGGGGAGCACGTTAAACAGCTGTACTACTAGCAGCGGTTCCCCTGTTCACAGGAAAGAGATGGTACCACAGCCCGGGTCCCAGCCGGGGGGAAATCTAGGTCCCGAGCGCCCCGGATGAGCCCATGATGGCCCAGATGGCCCCACGACGGCCCCAGGGCCGGTTTAGAAGGCCCCAGGAGGGCCCGAAGAGCAACCACTACTGCCAAGACGGGCCAAAGACGGCCCAAGATGGCGCCGAGAAGGCCCGTGAACGGCCCGGCAGGATCCCAAGACGTCCTGGGGGGGCCCCGAGAGGATTCGCAAAAAGCATTCGAGAGACAACAACTCATCCTTAGACGTCCGTGCGATCTGAGCATGTTCGCATTTTCTGTCTTCAGTGCGCCCAGGACGGCCAACGAGGCCGCCAAGATCGTCCCAATGATACCCCAAGACGGCCGCCAGGAGCTCCAAGAATGGCCCAGGATGGCCTAAGAAGGGCCCAGCATGGCCCCAAGAGTTCCCAAGATATTAGCCTCGGGAGGGACTCCAGACAGCCCAAGAGAGCCCCAAGACAGTCCAACGGGGCTCCCAGAGCGCCACCCAGGCAGCCCCAAGAGACCTCCAAGACGGCCCTGAGGATCCCAAGACAACTCCAAACGACCTCGAGACGGTCCAACAGGCCACGAAAGTTGAACGAGAACGGTCCTCAGGGAACCCCAAGAGGGCCCTCTCGCAACCCTGGATTAGTATGTCGTCGGTCAGAGATTCGATGTGCTCGTATATCTATACATTTATATATATATATATGTATAGAAATATTGGTAGGGGGTCTCGGGGCCCCCAGTGTGCACTGATTTGTCTTCCGGCCGTTTCGGGCCCGGCGGGGGGCGCAAGAAAACGTCAACGGGGGCCGAGAGACGTCCAAGAAGGCGCCAAGATGGCCCAAGAGCGCTCCAAGAGAGCCCAAGACCGCGCAACAGCGTTTCAACATTGGTACAATATGGTTTGAAGACAGCCCAAGAGGACTTCAAGACGGCCACGATGCCCTCAAAAGGACTCCCACGAGGCACTCCGGAGGCGAAATGAGTAGGTATTTCGATGGTTTTGACGATTTCTCGTGTTCTCGCTGTTTCGTGCTTCCGATGGTCCAAGACGGCCCACGAGGCCCCAGAAATCAGCCCAGGACGGCCCAAGAGGCACCGAGAGAGGGCGCCACGACGGCGCAAGGGAGTCCCAAGACGGCCCAAGAGTGCCCCACGACGGCCCAGTAGGCGCCCAAGATCGCCCAAGGGGGCCCCAAGATAGCCCCAAGAGGGGCCCAAGAGAGGGGAACACGAACCGACGATTCGAGCCTTCCGCCCAAAGAGGCCTCCAGGAGGCCCCAAGAGGGCTCCACTAGATGCCCCCTTAGAGGCCCCACGAGGCCCTAAAGGGGCCCAAAAAGACGCCCCACGAGCACCCAAACGGCCCCCAAGAGGCCTCCAAAACTGCCTTCACGAGGCCCCCAGGAAGCCTCCCACGAATTCCAAACGAATTTCCGAGAGGCCTCTAACTCACAACCCAGGCACGGTGGCGGGATGGGCCGAAGGCCACTATCGGGAACGTGAACCGAGAACCCGAGATCTTCGCCCCAGGAGACCCCCAGGAGGGGTCAAGAGGTCCCCAAGAAGCTTGGCGACAGATCACGGGTCGACCGGTGGATGAGAGCGGAGGAGGAAGAATGAGAAAAAGGCAGGAGGAAACAGAGAACGTTGACCTCTTTATCCATGACCGCCTTGTTGTCTCAATGTGGTCAGCACCATTCGACCAGCTAGAACCTAAGCGCGCGCGAAGCCCGCGCGATGGTTCTAGCATATATATATATATATATATTTATACGTTAAATACAATTGCATTTATTTGTGTAATATATCGAAATATTTCTAATATGGAAAACGTATGCCGTGAACTATATGTCCCATGATCATGCAAAAAGCAAAGGGGGTCACCGATGGGGTTGCCACAGCTTGCGATCAGACGATCTGTTGAGAAGGCATGAACTACACACTGGTCAGAGTAACGCGTGAGAGCTAAACTGGGAACCAACGAAGCATATACGCTCCTCTAGCAGTCAATTATGTACAACATCCTCCGGTTCCATCATGATCTGAAACTGTTTTCATGTTGAAAATAACAATACTGGGAGTCACTGAACCAATCCATAGTGTGTTTGAACGTGTGATGCCATGTACTGACATCCCACAGCTGCGTGATGGGTGCGCCTGACTTTTAGAATTATGAGGATGTCCATAGCGAAGCGGCCAGACACAAAACGCGGACGAGACCACCTTTAGTCACTCCTGCGCCCTGCGCCGTCGTAGAGGTGCGATTGATACCGTGCCTATCTGTATGTGTCCAGCTGTCTGCGGCTACCCCCCCCCACCGTGCCTGCGTAACAGCGTTGCAAGAGGGAGACTGAGTGTAGGAGCAGCGCAGTTCCGATAAGCGGTCTGATAAGGATAGGCCGCGAACTCGACCTAGTCTTCGTCCGCGCGGTAGGAAGGAAGCCGAGTTCACGCCCCGCGGCAGTTCAGCAAGTGGTCTGAATTGGGGACGGTCGTGACCCCGACATCGTCTTCGTCCGCACGGTACGGAGGAAGAGAAGGAGGAGGAGGAGGAGGAGGGGGAGGAGGGGGAGGAGGAGGAGGAGGAGAAGGAGGGAGTACGGAGGGGGAGGGGCAGGGGGAGGAGGAGGAGGAGGAGGAGGAGGAGGAGGAGGAGGAGGCGGAGGAGGAGGAGGAGGAGGCGGAGGAGGAGGAGGAGGCGGAGGAGGAGAGGGAGAGAATGATAACGAGGAGGAGACGTGGGGCCTCCTGGGGGCCTCCTGGAAGCCTCCTGGGAGGGGTGTCTTGGGGCGCTCTTGGAGGCCTCCTGGGGCCTCTAGGGACCTCTTGGGCTGTTTTAGGAAGGCGATTGGCCCGTCGGACGCATTCGGAGGCCGTGCTGAGGGCCTCTCTCTCTCTCTCTCTCTCGGGCGTCTTGGTGTCCTCTTGGATCGCTTTAGGGCCGTCTTGGTGCCCTCTTGGGAACCTCTTGGGCGATCGTGTGCTCCTCTTGGGTCGACTTGGGCCGACTTGGGGCTCTCTTGGGGGCCTCATGGGCTGTTCTGGCGCGATCTTGGAAGCCCCTTGGGCCGCCTTGGGCGGTCGGAAACCCGAACAGGCGAGCATCAAAACCCTTCAGACACCTTTGAAAGAAACATGGTTTTGGCCTCCTCGGGCTCCCTTGTGGAGGGCTTCTTGGAGCCTTCGTGGGCCGTCATTGGAGCCTCTTGCGCTGTCTTGAGACCGTCTTGGGAGCCTCTTGAGCCGTATTGGGCCATCTTGGGCCGTCTTGGTGTCATCTTGATTGCTTTGGAAGCCGTGTTGGAGGCCATCTTGGCCTTTTGGAGGCCGAACAGAGCGCTGGAAATCAATGTCACAGGAAGCGATCTCAGAGCTACGCGTGAGGGGAGGGGGGGTGGCCCTCGAAAACATTGATAAACCCTCCCAGATAGTAGACGAGCATTCTCACGCGGCCACTCCGTACAGGCACCGTGCACCATGGAACCATCTCTGTACATCAGTTCATACGTGCTTCGATCGATTTCCAGAGTCACTTTTGAGTTATACGTGTGTTTAGAACTGCTTCGGCCCATATTCAAAGCGATGTCCCCCCGTGCGCGTGCAGCCGATTTCGCCAACCGCAGAGATTGCCAGGGTACTGGCCGCCAGCCGACCACCGCCTTCGCCCGCCGCCCGCCGCCTGCCCCGCCGGCCCCTCAGCGCAACGCCCAGCATTGCAATGCCTCCGCCCCCACCGCCAGCGCCTAGCGCTGCGCAATCCTCCATCTCCAGCCGAACACGCGCTGCTCCACGGTCTCCGCCTCCAGCGCAACACCCCTCGGGGGTGGACAGAACCCCCAACAGTGACACGTCGATTAGTGAATTGTCCGTTTTCGGTTCTCGAGAGGGTGCCGCGGCCGTTATTTTCCAGGCTTGCGCCCGCCAGGTTTGGGCCTCAGGTCGTTTTCATTAAACCACGTGCTACTAAAGGGAGGTCTGTCCATCCCCGAACCCCTCATTCTGAAGCACCCGCCCCCCAACGCAAGCACCGCTGCTCCCACGGCCTTCGCTGCAGGACGGCGCCCTCTGCTGGGAGCCCCGCTCTCGAGCCCCGAGCCTGCCTGCCGACCGCTGCCGCCGCCCGCCGCCCGCCTCCCACCGCGCGCCCCCGCGCCCCGCCCGCGCCTTGCCAACGCAACGCCCGCTATGTCCAGGCATCCGTACCCACCACTCTCAGGAGGGGAAAAACACACAGACACAATTCATCGTCGATCCCCCAGAAAAGATGGGAAGATATGGGAAGTGGGGGGGGGAAGACGGGAATCCAAAAAATATGGGAACATATCGGGAATCTTTTTGTTTGTGTGTATTTGTTTGTGTGTCCCAGGGCCCCTTCACACTCTGGCCTGTCCACGCCCGCGTCCAGCGCAGCACCACCACTCCAATTCCACAGCACCCGCCCTCAGCCCAGCACCCGCTCCTCCGTGGGCGTCTGCTGCACGGCGGCACTCTTGGGATTCCCGCTTCAGGCCCGCGCCCGCCCCCGCCGCCCGCCGCCCAGCGCGCCCGCCCAGCGCGCCCGCCCCGCCCGCTTCTCCGGCACGGCACACAGCTCTGCACGGTCTCCGTCTCCAGCACAACACCCAGGAGGGGGAAAGAAACACACAGACACAATTAATCGTCGACTCCCAGGAAAATATGCAAACATATGGGAAGTGGGGGGAAGACAAAAACCCAACACATATAGGAAAATACGGGGAATATCTTTATTTGTGTGTATTTATTTGTGTGTCCTGGGGCCCCTTCAAACACCCTCGAGCCCACAGAGATTCCTGACCCTTGCTGTTTGGCTCTAGAGAACCACGATGCATCGTGACTCCCAGAAGCTAGGAGGTGTCGGGGCACAGCGCCGTGAGCATACTTTGTCGGCGGTTCCCGCGGAATTCCTGGATCGGCGCCGGATGCACCCCCGACCCCTTCGTTCGCCCCAATAGTGAGGGCAGGTCCGAGAGCGCGGCGCGGTCCTCCCAGGTGTCGAAAAAAGCGAGCGCGGCCGCGACGCGCGGGCAGACCCGCGTCGAGGGGAGGGATGAGGCAGGGGGGAGGAAGGGAGGGAGGAAGAGGAGGAAGGGACGACATGGAGGAAGACAAGGCGGGGGAGGAGGGACGGAGGGATGGAGGGAGGGAGGGAGGGATGGAGGGCGGGGGAGGGAGGGGAGGGAGGGAGGAGGAGGAGGGAGGGAGGAGGATGAGGAGGAGGAGGAGGAGGAGGAGGAGGAGGAGGAGAGAAGAGGGAGGAGGAGGAGGAGGAGGAGGAGGAGGGAGGGAGGAGGAGGGAGGGTGGAGGGAGGAGGGAAGGAGGAGACGAAGGGAGGGTGGAGGAGGATGAGGAGGAAGAGAGAACATTGAGGATGGAGGAGGAGGAGAAGGAGGAGGAGACAGGAGAGGAGGAGGAGGAGGAGGAGGAGGAGGAGAACGAGAAGGAGGGGGAGGAGGAGGAAGGGGAGGAGGAGGAGGAGGAGGGAGGAGAGGAGGGAGGAGCAGGACGGAGGGAGGGGGGCATTGAGGAGGAGGAGGGAGGAGGAGGAGGAGGAGGAGGAGGGAGGAGGAAGAGGAGGGGGGACGACGGGGGAGTGAGGAGGAGAAGGAAGAGGAGGAGGAGGAAGAGGAGGAGGAGGAGGAGGAAGAGGAGGAGAAGGACCAGTGTAAACCCAGCGCGCGCCAATGATGCTGCTGCAGTGCGTCACCTCGTCCCCTGTCTCGTCCCCACTGATCAGTTCAAGTATTTCACGTCTCGGCGGCGAGCATCCGTTGAGAAGGCGTGGGTCCCATGGGCACGCGTGGTGAGAACCCTTTTGTGTTTTGCAATCCACATCGGGCCCCGACATGCCACCGCTGTGCCCCGCTGCGTGGGGCTCCAAGATCGCTTCCGAGTGCGGCACGATTGCCCCCCAAATGGCACAGCTTTACCCTAAGACGTACCAGTATGCCCAGAAGGTTGCCCGTATTGACCTATGAAGGCGGGCCCCCAAGGCTCCACTATTGCCATGAAGGCGACCAAGACGACCCAAGAGCGGCCCAAGAGAGCTCCCATGAGGATCCCAAGAGGCAAACATCATTGAACCCTTACAGATTTCCAACCGATTATATCACTGTCGCGGCCAAGCCAGCTCAAGAGGCTCCCAGCATCGCCCCAAGAAAGTCCAAGCAGGCCCTTGAGAACTCCCACCTGACACCAAGACTGACCAAGAGGGCTCCAACATGGCCCAAGAGTTCCCAGGACGGCCCAACGTGCACCAAGAGAGCACGTGGACGGCCCCAACAGACTTTCAAGGCGACCTCGAAGGCCGCAGACGGTCCGAGAGAGCCCCAAGACAACCCCAAGGCAGCCCAAGGCAGCCCCAAGAGGCAGCCAAGGAGGCTTATGAAGGGCTCTTCGAAGAGTTCCAAGACCGCCCCAAGACGGCTCAAGCGGACCCTCAGAATTCAACCTCAGTCGAGTACGTTTCCCAATGGTACGCGACCGTGCTTGCGTCACGTTTCCACACCATATGGCTGCATAAGTTCCTTCTACAGGCAGCGGGTGCGGTGACTTGCCGTACGCATCCTCGGTAGTATTCTTCCTGTTTCTCCTCGTCTTCATTATTTCCTCCTCTCTCGTCCTTGTTACTTACCCTTCGCACCATCGTAACCCCTATCCCTTCATATTTTTATTAGTTTCTCCTAGTGCATCTCTCCCTCGCCCCCTCATCCCGTTAGGTGGTAATCCATACCATGAGGCATGCGCTACTCGTCTGGCCAATCCTGGGACCCCATGTGGTGACTGCAGTAGCTCTGCGGCGGCCCCGGGAGAGGCCCTGGAGCGTCTGCAGCTGCGATGAACCTAACACGCCATCGGCACCCTGCGGTGGTGGGTTGTCCTTGCAGGGCCCTTCTTCCGTGTTCTGCCCTGGCGCCCGAGGCGGCCAGCATTTTGGTATGCGCGGAACGTGCCCAACAGGACCGCCCCGAAAACGGGAACCCCGAATTTTGGTCCCGCCATGTGTCCCCAGCCTCGAACCTCGATCATCCCCGTCGTCTTCATCATCATCCTCATCCTCATCATTTGCATCGTCATGGTCATCATCAGCACCATCATCGCAATCATCATCATCATCATCATCATCATCATCATCATCATCAGCAGCAGCAGCATCATCAACAACATTGTACTTGTTGTGATGTCTAATTATTATGTTTATCATGTTTATTGGTATTGCTACTGTTATGCTGATGCTGATTGTGATTAGTATTAATACGATACTTGTATTATTAGTATTTGTGTTCTTAGTAATATCATAATGATTATGATTGTTAGTCGCAGTCCTATTAGTATTTGTTTTATTAGTCGTGGTATCATTGACGATATTATCAGCATCGCCACTATCACAACTGCAGAGGCCTTACAGCCAGTTCCGCCGATCCTAAAGGGGGACGACGAAGACAACGACGATGAAACTATTCAAAAAGGTAAGGCAAATCTTTGATTTTGCCCTCTTGGGGTTCTCTTGAGAGTGCTCCTGGGGCTATCTTGGGCCTCTGGGGGGCCTCTTGGTGGCGTCTGGGGCTCCTCTTGGGGCCTCCTTGGGGCCTCTTGGGGCGGAAGGGTCGGAATGTTGGTAGGTGGATTCCCTCTCAGGAGCCTCTTGGGGCCGTCTCGGGCCGTATTTCGGGCCGTCTGGGGCTGTCTTGAGGCCGTCTTGGGCTGTTTTGGAGCGCTTTCGGCAGGCTTTTGGGTCGTCTTGGGGCGATGCTTGTGGCTTCTTGGGCCGTTTTGGAGCGTCGGAAGCTCGTAAAGGCGATGGCGCGGACAAATATAGAAAAACTGAATCAAACTCGTCTTGGTGCTCTTGGGGAGGGGGGAGACGAGGAGGAGGAGGAGGAGGAGGACCGAGGGAGGGGGGGTCTCTTTTGGAAAGCTGCATAAGTCCCGCGAGACACCAAACAGGTGGGAACACGCGCAAGGTGAGAGGGAACAGGGGCGGTGATGTGAGGAAGAGAGATGCCGGGGAACCGAGATCCCCTCATGCCGTGGAAAATTCACGACGAGAGGTATTCGGCGCGCATGGGCCTCCCTGGAGCACGTCCTTCCAGGCTGCCCGTACAGGGGCACGGGCCTGACGTCGGGGGCCCGCGCTCCGGCAGCAAGTCCGAGTGTCTTTCTTTTCTGCTTCTCCTGCTTCTCCTCTTCCCCGGAGCTCCAGCGGACTGGGTGACGAGGAGTGGGGAGACAAAGGACGAGGGAGGGGGATGATGAGGAGGAGTAGGGAGGAAGAGAGAGGGAGGAGGTGAAGGGAGAAAGAGGAGGGGGAGGAGGGAGAGCACTGGGGGGAGCAGCAGGAACGGGAGGGAGCAGGAGAGGCGGGGGACGGAGGAGGAGAAGGGGAAGGGGAAAAGGAGGGAGGAGGGAAGATTATTAGGAGGGAGGAGGAGGAGGAGGAGGAGGAGGAGGAGGAGGAGGAGGGAGAGGAGGAGGGAGGAGGAGGAGGAGGAGGAGGAGCGGAGGCGGAGGCGGAGGCGGAGGCGGAGGAGGAGGAGGAGGCGGAGGGGGAGGGGGAGGGGGAGGAGGAGGAGGAGGCGGAGGAGGAGGAGGAGGAGAAGGAGGAATGAGGAGCAGGATGGCGGATGAGTCGCTCTGAGTTCGCCATCTGCCGGGATGGGGGTGATGTGTCGCCACCAGGACGAACGGCAGCGCGGCAACCACTTTACTGTGTCGACATCGTCGGGCGGCCGACGACGACGACGCTGACGCGGGTCAGAGTTCTCAGGGATGCTTCTTGGGGTGCGCTTAACGCTCTTAGGGGCCTCGGGGGATAGTGTGGGGGTCTCTTCGGGTCTTCTTGGGAGCCTTGTGGGGGCCTCGTGGTTTCTCCCGGGAGCTCTCGGGGCGGAGGGCTCGAAATGTCCGCTTTGGTTCGTGGGGGCTCTGGGGCCGTTTTGGAGGCGTCTGGGGCCGTCTGGGACTCTCTTGGGCCGTTTTGGGTTGTTCGTGGAGCCCTCTGGGGCTATATAGGGGCTATCTGGGAGGCCGCTTGGGCCGTCTTGGAGCGTCGTGAAGCGGGAGAGGCGATAACACCGAACTGATTCAACCACCTATGGAACATCTACGATTTTTGTGACTTAGGCACTCTTGGGACTGCTCCGTGGAGGCCTCTTTGAGCGTCTTGCAGGATTCCTGGGCGGTCTGGAGGCTGTCCAGGCGTCTTGGGCAGATCGTTTGGCGATTCAGCGCCCTCGTGGACTGTCTTCGGGAGCTTTTGGTGCCTTCTTGGCCTGTCTTTTTTTTGCGGCCCCGGCGCCCTCGGAGGGGAAGCGTATCTGACCCGGGACCCCTCCGGGTCCGTCCCTGGGACCCCCTCCCTCCCGGCGAGAGAGGGATCAAATGGAAGGGGTTTTCCCTTCGAGTCTATGACGACGTTGCTCAATTTCGCATTGGCTGACGCGCTTGAGGAGGAGAGCCCAGGAAAGGAAACAGGAGCGGCCACGGGCGGGGTCGTCTCGGCACCGTGTTGGAGCCGTCTTGGGGGCCCCTGAGGCTCTTTTGGAGGCGTCTTTGGTCTTGGGGCTCTTGGACCGTTTTGGGTCGCTCGTGGAGCCCTCTGGGGATGTTTGGGGACTAACTGGGAGGCTGCTTGGGTCGTCTTGGAGCGTCGGGTAGTGGGACAGGCGAGAACGCCGAACTGTTTCAAACACCGATGGGAAATCTACGACTTTTGTTCTTGAGGCACTCTTGGGACTGCTCCTGGAGGCTTCTTTGAGCGTCTTTCAGGATTCTTGGGCTGTCTGGAGGCGGCCTGGCGTCTTGGACAGATCGTTTGGCGATTCAGCGCCCTCTTGGATGTTTTTGAGACCTTTTGGGGCACTCTTGGCCGGTCTTGGGCTTCTTTGCTGCCTGGGAGCTCCTGGTGGGGTAGCGCACCTGACCCGGGCCCCCCCCGGGTCCGTCCTTGGGATCCCTTTGGGGTCCGGACCCACAGGGACGGGGCTTCCTTTCGAGTGTTTGAGGACT